AGCGTCCATCAGGACTCTTGGCCTCAGGGCCAGCAGTGGCTATCTTGGTATGAAGGAAAGGGTGAGAAGTCCAAGCAATTTGGGTGGGGAGGGAATAAGAAGAGAGAAAAATCCCTATCCAACTAGGGAAGCTCCTGACCAACTAGCAAGAGTGAAACCGAAATGTGTGTTTGTAGTCCTCATTTTTCTCTCTCAGGAAAGAGCTGAGATTCAGGAACCCCAGTTGCTCTGTCCAAGGCTAATTCCATGCGGTCCGGCAAATCCCCTTTCCTCTCTGCCCTTAGATTACCCCCAGGGTCCCTCTCGGAGGACGCTCTCCCCTATGTAAACATCTGTGGTCTCACTACTGACCAGCAGAGGGCAGCGATGCACCAACATTCTCTATGGAATTTGCGACCCCAAGTCTAGTTTGGTTTGCCCTGTTGCTATTGTCTGGCCCCAACAAGGAAATTGTGGTGAAATAATACTAGTAGTATGTTACACTTTTTCAAATAGCCTTGTTTTATCCTCCGTGCACAGTCAAAATGAAGTCTTGCCACCATATACGGATGAGGAAGCAGAGCCACAGAAACATAAGAAGTTTAACAAGGCCACATATAAACAATTGACTAACGATTTTGGTCACACCACATCGTACATTTAGACCATTCCAGTACTAAGAACTCATTGCACTATGTCTGGTCTGCTTAGTACCAATAACCCGTTACTTAATTTATGGTTCATGAAGTATTTTCTGTTCCTTAATAACGGAGGATTCTCTTCCCTAGTTTACTGAGGCTTCTGGAACTTTTTCTTAATCAGCTTCGTCTTAGAGGCTGTCCGGTAGACTTCCAAAAATATTAGATAAAAAACTTCAGAACTTGGTGTTTTGCCGCAGTTCTCATGTGATAGGACAGAGTGGGTTCTAGTCCAAATACTGCTCCTTGTTTTGCAAAAGGAATTAAGCCCCTCACTCCGTCTCAGCACCTTCATGGATTATTTTAATTCCATGTGGTACTGGAATAGCTTTAGATCAATAGTGGTACTTGAAACAGACTGTGAAATGCTACACCTGTCCCCAAATCCAGATTCTGATAGCAATCCCCAACCATCCAGAGAGTCGTTTTTGATAGGCATTTTATTTGTATGTATGTGCAGCAGACAGACCCCTCCCTGGGTTGATTAAGATGCTATTACAGAATGACACAACTCAAATTAGATTAAATATTTAAACATTAAGGAAAACTTTACTTAATTTAACAGTAAATTCCAATGTGGCTCATGAATCAACTCAACAACATCAGGATTTTCCTGCCTGAAAAGTCAACAGTGCCGATATTGAGAAACCCCAGGCTACACTGATCAGGATCCACCCTGTAGGACAGGGGTTGGGGCTGGGGTCTGTTCAATGAAGCACATGGTGGTGAGGAAGAGCTGGAGGACTCCACACAAAACTGGGTTTTAGAGAGTCTGAAGGAGAAAAGGGGGACTGGCTTTTGGGAGGGGAATCAGCAGTCTCCATTATAAGCCCACATAACTGTTATTTTTTAGCTCCCAGTGTGAGCTCTAAATAGCTCCTACACTGTGTGTGCCCCACTGCTGGGAGGTTTGGGGGTATAACAGAATCAACACTTGGTCCTTGCCTTCATCTTGCTTATATTCTAGGTGTTTAAACCAAACTTGCATTATATCCTTTTTATTATTATCATTTGCTGTCTTTTAATTGTAGAAAATACTGAAAGGAGTAAGGAAAACCCAGAATCACTCATAACCTATTGAGACAGCTACCACTAACATTTCTGTTTATTTCCTTCTAATCTTGGCCCTGTTTTCTAATTACTGTAATTTATACAAATTATGTCCACATTTCATTCATTCAACAGCAATGGAGCTGAGTGCTGATGTGTGTGGTTCAGATTCTTACTGTTCTAGGAGTTCCCAGAAGAACAATTTCATTGTAGTCCTGCATCACATCATTGGACAGGGGAGGCTTGCCCTGGGTCTTGAAATAAATTTGAACGAGGAAAGAGGGTATAAGGAACACCCAGTGAGAGGAAGGGAATGTCCTAGGAGCAAAGGCAAGGCAGGTGGGGTTAAGGGAGAAGACTGGCACATGTTGGAAGGCTAGAGGGGAGGAATCAGGGAGGAATCAGTGGTAGGGAAGATTCTAGATATAATGGAAGTCTGTTTTTTTGGCCTGTTCAGCATTCATCCTCCCTTCTGATAACAGCATCCAATTTTCCTTTGGGGAATCACTCCTTATCCACCTTCCACACTACCCTCAGCTTCTGTTTGGACATAGCAACCACATCCTCTGGTTTAGAGATGGTCATGTGGTTGTAGTTGACCAATCAGAATGCCACATCCCTCTGGCCAGTGATTGGCTCATAGATGGACACATGACTAGATCACACCAATCAGGACCAATGAGCCTCAATTCCATTTGTTGGGACTGTCTGGAAGGAGAAACTCTCTTTCCATTGCAATCGAGGCTAATAAGATGAAGCTTAGAGCTGGTCGCTGTCTTGCCATAATGAATGGAGAGTTTGCCTGAGAATAACTTCAACAAAATAAAGATTAGGACCCAGGGTTGAGAAGTATTGACAGAGTCCTGAGAACAGCGTTTGAGCTCCTAGGTCCAGTTGAGCCTAAAGTTCATGGCTCCTTTGGATTGTCCAGCTACATGAGCTAATAAATTGCCTTTCTTGCTTAAGCCAGTTTTAGTTAACTTTCTGTCTTTTGAAACTAGAAGTTTTAACACACTTTGCATTCTAGAGTAATGGAAAAAGTGTGAGACTTACAGTCAGAAGGACTTTGCTCTGCCACCAGCTGTGTCCTTGGGCAAAAAAAAACCACTTCTCCAGGACTCAACTCCTCTCTAAAATGGAGAAAATAATATGTGCCTCTATATTATTGGAAGAAATGAATGACTGGGTTTTGTGAACTGAAGAGAAAGGAAAATGTTAAAGATTTTTATGAAATCACAGGGATAATTTTAGGAAGATGATTCTAAAAGGGCTTAAAAGGATAGCAAGCTTAAAGGTAAACTTGGATGTTGCAGGTGTTAGGTGGTGATCTGAGTGAAATGGCAGCAGGTGGAAGAAGGATCATAGGCTTCCTTGGCTACCATTTTCCCTTTGATAAATACATGTGACAAAGGAATATTAATCCAAGAAAAATGGCAGCACAAATGTGATGATAATCAGCAATTGACACTGGCTTCAGGATCACAGATGATAGGGAGTGGTGGGGATTGTGGAAAACTGGACAGTGTATGTCCCATCTGAAGCAGGCAGCCTCCTCTCAGCTTCAGACAATCTGCCACACTGTATATCCAAATTTCCTAAATATTCAAGGGAAGCCAGAAATCCAGACACTTCCAACAAATGGAATTGAGTCTCAGTGGTTTTGATTGGTCTCATCTTGAAATATCTAAATTTTCAGATGTTGGTTCATTCTATCTTTTTTTTAACATATGAACCCAACACAACTTGTCTGTCACAGCCCCAGGAATGCTAGTTTATAATCCCTTGTATAAATGCCACAATGAATCTTAGTTGCAAGGATGAGAAGGCAGCTAACAGGGAGATGTGCATATGAAACCAAGGATGGGCAGAAAATTCATGCAGGGGGATCTCCATTTTCTCCTGAAAATCAATTCTATAAACATTTGTTCAATCCACACACCAACCCTATGAGGTAAGGCAGGTTAATTCCATTATGCAGATGGGGAAACTGAGGCTCAGAGAATGCCCACATCCACAAGCTACAAAGTAGTCCCTCAAAACTGCACTCCTTACTTCCTCTCTGGTGGTACCCAAGTTCGAGCCGACTTTGAAGATCACTAAGAAGCTGAAGACATTAAGGAGAAAGAACCCTTTTGCTTAAAGGATGCCAGCCTGCCTCTATTACCCACTTAATCTCTGGTGCCTTTTAAATCCCTTGGCTTCAAGGTGAATGTAACTACTGGGCAGCACTTTTCTGATGATGTGGCACTCACAGAGTGCATGGCTCAGAATTCCTCCAAAAGTGTCTGCTGTGAAGAGCATGGTTCACTGACAGCCCTAAGTCCCATTCCTCTGACTCCACCAGCAAGTTCACACCAAGGCCTTACTTCCCCAGGCTGCTCCCAGCCAATGACTGGGCATAGTAGGAGTGCTAGTGCAGCCCCACCGCTGCCAACCTGGGGTTCCTCTTACAGCTGCCTTTGGCTTTGGAACTCCACATCAGCCTGCGTGAAACTTTCTTGGAACTGCCCTGCTGTCTGAAGCTCTTCCTTCACCTCTACTTTTGCATGTGTTGGACTAGCATCACAGTCTGAAGAGACTCCTTCCTGTTCTCCCTTCCCCTTTGTTCTTCATGGGCATAAATAAATAAACCAGTAACTCTTTTCCAGGTCTAAGCCAGTCTTGGCATGTGCTTCTTAGATGATCATAACTAACACAGATGACTTCCATTTTGTGGAGTGAGCTAATGAAGTCTACAACCACCCAAACCCATAGTCATCTGTTGTCACGGAAACAGTTTCACACTGTAATGGTTATACCCATGGGCCTTGGAATCAGAATGACCAAGGTGTGAGCCCCGCTTGTTAGTGGTATGACTTATAGGAAGTTTCTTAACCCGCCTAGAGGCTGTACTTTCTCATGTATTGAATCAATGATTCTTCACCAGGAGTGATTTTGTCCCCCAGGGGACATTTGGCAATGTCTGAAGATATTTTTTGGTTGTCATAACTGGAGGAACTGGAGGGAGGGGAATTATTGCTACTGATACCTAGTGGATAGAGACCAGGGATGTTGCAAATATCCTACAGTGAACAGAGCAGTCCCCATCCCTGCACACACACATACACACCCCAAAAAGAATCATCAGCCCAAAATGTCTGTAGTGCTAAGGCTGAAATCCCTGTGTTAAATGGAGACAGTGAAGGTAGCTAATTCAAAATTCTGTTGTGAGGATCCAGGGGGATCAGTTATTCAATATCTGTCATTTCTGTTTTCCCCCACCCACCTCCACAGGTCAGGGGCCAGGTGATTCTCCATCTATGTTCTGTATCACCAATGACTATAACATGAAGATGCTGAGTAAATTATTATGAATTGAAATATTTATCAGATGAGTGAAAATCAACAAATGGTAACTATTATTATTGTTGTTATTATTATTACCAACACTGTCTTCCCAGCCCCTGGCTCAGAGCCTGGGGCATAACTGGTCCTCTATATTTATTGAATGAATGAATGAGAAATGGAGGAGTATTTACTCATTAACCACTAATTTATGTACTTTGGAGAGTTATTGGAGCCTCCTGGGAAAGAAGCCCAGTCTTTTCCTTTTTATTTGCAAAGAGGAGTTTTGCTCATCAAAGAAATGACCTTAAAGGATTGAGACCTCTGCTAAGCCAGGATCAGGGGCCTGACTCAAAGTCATGTAGAGTTTAGGACACACACCTTGCTTAACTTAGGCAAAAACGGAAAATGGGCCAGGCTTTGTGCAGACTCGCTGTGAAACAAGAGCTGTTTTCAGGGCCCAGGAACACACTCTGTCCCATGTTTAATTTCTTCCATCTGTCTGGTATCTGCCCTCTGCTGCCCTCTAAGCCACTGCCACACATTGTCTGCGTGCGTTCCCATATAAGGTGATCTCGCTCTCCCTTTCTCTTCCTCTCTTCCCCTCTCCCTCTCTTTCTCAGGGTTGGACGGCAGCAGCACTTGCTTCCTCCACCCTGCTCTCCCTCTCTCAGCCTTCCCTGGCAGCCTCTGCTGTGAGAATGGATGGCTGGAGAGCGGGAAGGGGCAGGGGGCTGCCAAGGAATGTGGCAGGGTTATTTTTGTTCAGGCTGCATTCTTTGCCAGGCCTGCAGGCCCCAGCCACTTGGGGATGTCACATGCTGATAAGACAGTGGGGGTGACTGAGACCTGTGGCTCAAATCTGCAACACCCCAGGTGTGAGCCGTCGTCACGGAGTTGGGGAGCTGAGGGGGCAGGGAGGGAAGAGACTCTGAGGTCATGGAACTCACCTCTCCCCCTGTCCTGTGTCTGATTCACATAAAGACACGTTTGATCCTTCAGAGAAGCAACTGCAGGAACTGAGATCTGTAACCACTTAGGCCCATCTCTGGGCAAAACCCAACATTTGCTGTAGAGTGGAGAAGAGCCAGGTATCATGGTGAAATTATTAGCTGTGTGACCTTGGGCAAGTTGCCTGACCTCTCTGACTCTGTTTCCTTATCTGTCATAATAATATCAACAAATCTACTTGATACTGTTCTAGTATCCCAGTGAAATGTAAACCCTTGAAGGCAGAGATTACTGTCTATTCCGTTCACTATTATTTCACCAGCACCTAGAGAATAGTGCCTGGCACACAGTAGGAGCTCAAATATGTATTGAATGAATTAAATGAGATGCTTTTTAAGTGCAAAGCACCCAAAACATAATAGCTATTACTACCTATTTAACAACAGGTGTTCATTTAGCACTCTTAAGTGTCAGGCCCTGTTAGGAGCTGAGGGTATAGCAGTGATCACAACAGACAAGATCCCTACGCTCAGAGAGCTGATATTCTAATAGGGGATATAGACAATCAAGTAAATTAAGTTCAGAGAGTACCAAGTGCTATGGAAGAAATTTAAAATGGGGTGTGGAAGAAGTATGTTTTTCAAACCTTGTGACTGTGACTCACAGCAAGAAATATGTTTATTGTGTGACCCCATGAACACATATGCATGTTTATTAAATTGAAATAAAACCTTCACAAAACATTTGTGGTAGATTGTCTGCAAAGATGTCTGCCAACAAAATTAGCAAACATCATTCCTGGTATGCACATGCCAAGAAGTAGAATCTATTTCTCCTTTCCTTGAATCTGGGCAGGTCTTACTACTTGCTTTGACTAATAGAATGCAGTGGACTTGACATTGATTGTTCTGGGCCTCAGCTTTAAGAAACCTGGGGCTTTCACTATTACACTCTTAGTTCCCAGCTGCCACAGAAAGCAGCTCAGGTTAGACCTCTGAATGGAAGCAATCTTGGATGTTCCAGCCCCAGAGCAGCTCCCAGCTGAATTCAACTGCATGGTAACCCAGCAGATACACACGGAGCAGAAGATCTGCCTTGCAGAGCCCAGCTAACCCACAGACTTGTGGGAAGAAAAGATGGTTGTTTTTAAGCCAATAAACTTGGAGCGGTTTGTCATGCCGCAAAAAATTATTCTGACACAGAAAAAATTGCCCTTATTCTGTGTTATTTTCTATTCCATTTCATTTCAGTTATTAAAAATATTAATCAAGACCCACTACATTGATTTTTGTATCCACAAAATGGGCCATACCTGACTGTCTGAAAAACATGGAGAATGACTGGTATGTGGGTTATTTTAAGTAAGGGGGTCAGAAAAAGCCTCCCTGAGAAGTAATGTGAGCTGACACCTGGATGAGGAGAAGGAGCCAGGCTGGGCTAGATTGGGGAAATAGCCAGGCAGAAGAGATAGCGGTACAAGGGTCTTGAGGCTAGGATGGGTGTGGTGTGTTTGAGCAGCAGAAAGGGAGCCAGTGGTTGGGGAATAAGGAGAGAAGGGAAGCCTCAAATGAAATTAGGCCTTCTGCTCTGCAGCTTCTGGGTCTTCAGCTCTAGGGAACAAAGACAAAGTCTTGGAAGACTTCAAGTGGACAGTTGATCTCCCAAGGCCCTGACTGCCCTTTTTTTATTTTTAAATGAGGTAAGATTCACATAATATAAAGTTAACCTTTTTAAAGGGAAGCATTTAGTACATTCATAATATTGTACAACCACCCTTTCTCTCTCTGGAAGATTTCCATCACCCCAAAAGGAAGGCCTGTACCCATTACACAGTTGCTCCACATTTTCCCCTCCCCCCAGCCCCTGGCAATCACTAATCTGCATTCTGTTTTTAATGGCTTTGCCTTCTCTAGATAATTCATATAAGTGGAATTATACAATATGTGGCCTTTTGGGTCTGGCTTCTTTCACTTAACAAAATGTTTTCGAAGTTCATCACTGTTGTAACCTATTGTACTTCATTTCTTTTTACGGCTGAATAATATTCTGTTGTATTATACCACAACTTGAGCCATTCATCTCTTTGCCCATCGTTTTGATCCTATAATCCATCTACAGCACTCTTACAAACTTTGCATTGATTTTATCAGCTGAGGAGGGAGCAGAGATCTTAAAGACATGAAAGAGAAGGCCAGTTTGTGTCCTGCTGCTCTTGGCCTTTGCTTGTCCCCTCCCATAAACCTTTTCCTGCATGATTTGGAGCTTCCTCGTGGCCCAAAATGCGGCTCCACTGCTGGTTACCCTTAAACACTCCCCCTTAATTCTATAAATACACCAACACTCAGCTGGGAAAAAAAGAACTTGAAAAGCATCTGAAATGAAAATATACTTTTTTCCCATCATCAACCAAGTGTTTTCTATCTTCCCCCTCTTTGATTCCAGGGTAGGTGCCTGGGTTTCAAACCATTAGCTCTCCCTGGAGAAGAGAAGAGTTTCTTTGGCAAAGCCTTTATAGGCCCTGGGTAGGTCCTCCCACACAGAAAATCGCTTTGCCTCCTGCCTCGGTGGCCAGATTTGTGGTCCTTCCTTCCTGACTCTGCTGAGCTGGTCTTGAATCAGTTTAATAGGTTGGTGAAAATGGCTTTGGGATCAGGCAGACCATGTTTGAATCTTGGTTCAGGCAGCTACTAGCTATATGACCTTGAGCCCTCTATTAATTCTCCAGGCCTCAATTTCCTCAATTATAAAATGGAAAACACAATACTGCCCTTGCAGACTTGTTGTGAAAGAAGATGAAATGAGATGATGTGAGTGTGGGCAGTGTGCTGCAGGGAAATGAGGCCTAACTCCGGGCAGTGCCTGCTACTTCGGCTAGGGGGCCAAGCAGCTTGGAGAGGTGGGGGGTGGTTCAGTTGACCTCACAAGGCCTTTCTGCCCATCATTTTGACAGCATAATTCAACATATAATTCAATTTGTAATTCATTCAGCCTGCCTTCCAGATTCACCCTCTGCCATTTTCTTCCTTGATTTATGTCTTGAGATCCCAATCTGTGCAGTAACCTCAAAGCAGCTGCCTTTGAGGCACCCTGTTCGGTTTAGCCGGTGGGAGGCCAGGCAGGGTATCAGAGGGTGTGAAGAGAGTGAGGGCAAGACTGGCTGAATCTAAAGGCTCCTGTCAGGCAGCTTTCCCTGAACAGATGCTCTGCCGGGAGTCCGGTGCCTCTTCCCTTCTCTTGCTGCTTTAGGCTTAGGGCAGCAATGGCTTCCTTGGCTGGTGGCCCTTTGCTAAGCCCCTGGCAATCACTAATCTGCATTCTGTTTTTAATGGCTTTGCCTTCTCTAGATAATTCATATAAGTGGAATTATACAATATGTGGCCTTTTGGGTCTGGCTTCTTTCACTTAACAAAATGTTTTCGAAGTTCATCACTGTTGTAACCTATTGTACTTCATTTCTTTTTACGGCTGAATAATATTCTGTTGTATTATACCACAACTTGAGCCATTCATCTCTTTGCCCATCGTTTTGATCCTATAATCCATCTACAGCACTCTTACAAACTTTGCATTGATTTTATCAGCTGAGGAGGGAGCAGAGATCTTAAAGACATGAAAGAGAAGGCCAGTTTGTGTCCTGCTGCTCTTGGCCTTTGCTTGTCCCCTCCCATAAACCTTTTCCTGCATGATTTGGAGCTTCCTCGTGGCCCAAAATGCGGCTCCACTGCTGGTTACCCTTAAACACTCCCCCTTAATTCTATAAATACACCAACACTCAGCTGGGAAAAAAAGAACTTGAAAAGCATCTGAAATGAAAATATACTTTTTTCCCATCATCAACCAAGTGTTTTCTATCTTCCCCCTCTTTGATTCCAGGGTAGGTGCCTGGGTTTCAAACCATTAGCTCTCCCTGGAGAAGAGAAGAGTTTCTTTGGCAAAGCCTTTATAGGCCCTGGGTAGGTCCTCCCACACAGAAAATCGCTTTGCCTCCTGCCTCGGTGGCCAGATTTGTGGTCCTTCCTTCCTGACTCTGCTGAGCTGGTCTTGAATCAGTTTAATAGGTTGGTGAAAATGGCTTTGGGATCAGGCAGACCATGTTTGAATCTTGGTTCAGGCAGC